CCACACGAGAGAGATAGGGGGTTGAGGGGTTGGGGGTTGGTTGTTGGGGCCCTAGAATTTAGGGTTGAGGGTCAGTGTGTAGGGTTTAGGGTCTAGGGTCGGGGGTTGAGGTTTAGGGTTTGGGGTTTGGGGATTGGGATTGGGGTTTGAAGTTTTGGGGTTAGAGGGTTAGGGTTTAGGGTTTAGGGTAGGGTTTAGAGGGTTATGGTAGGGTTTATGGTTTAGGGTTTGGAGTATGGGGTTAGGTTTTTGGAGTTTGGGTTTAGGGTTTGGGGTAATTGGGTTTTGGGGTTCGGGGTCGGGTTTTGGCTTTTAGGGTTTGGGGTTTAGGTGTTATGGTTAGTGTTTAGGGTTTGTGATTTGGGTTTTGGGAATTTTTGGGTTTTGCGTTTTGGGTTTTGGGTTTTGGATTGGGTCAGGGTTAGGGTGCAGGGTTTAGGGGTTAGGGTTAAAGGGTTTAGGGGTTAGGGTAGGGTTTAGGATTTGGGGTTAGGTCTTGGGGTTTGGAGTTTAAGGTTTTAGGGTTCGCGGTTTCGGGGTTCGGCGTTTAGCTTTTAGGGTTTGGGGTTTTTGGTTTGTGGGTTTAGGGTTTAGAATTTAGGGTTAAAGGTTAAGGATTAGGGTTTAGGAGTTAGGGGCTTAGGGGTTAGGGTTTAGAGTTACGGGTTAGGGTTAGGGTTAGGGTTAGGTTGGGGTTTGGGGTTTGGGTTGGGTTGGGTTTAGGGTTTGGATTGGGGTTTTGGTTTGTGGGTTTAGGGTTTGGGATTTGGGGTTTTTTGGTTTGTGGGTTTAGGGTTTTTTAGGTTTTAGGGTTAGAGGTTAGAGTTTAGGGATTAGGGTTAGGGTTTAGGAGTTAGGAGTTAGGGATTAAGGGTTAGGGGCTTAGGGGTAGGGTTTAGAGTTTACTGTTAGGGTTTGGGATTTAGGTTTAGGGATTAAGGGGTTAGGGTTTTAGGGGTTTCGAGTTTGGGTTGGGTTTGGGTTTGGGTTTGGGTTTGGGGTTTGGGGTTTAGGTTTTAGGTTTTTAGGCTTAGGTTTGGTGGTTTTAGGGTTTTAAGGTTTAGGGGGATTAGGGTTGGTTTGGGCTTTGGTTTTTTTGGATTATGTATTTGGGGTTCAGAGGGTTTTTAGGGATTCACTGTTTTGGGTTTGGTTTGGGGTTGGGATTGGGATCTATTTGGGTCTAGGGTCTAGGAACTATTAGGGTTTAGGTCTAGGGTCTATTTGGATTTGGTGTTCGGGATTGGGGTTTGAGGTTTGAGCTTTTCGAGTTTTGGGTTTGGGGTCTGGGGTCTAGGGTTTAGAGTCTAGGGTCTATTAGGGTTACGATATAGGGTCTAACGTCTATGGTCTGATTAGGATTTAAGTTTAGGATTTAAGGTTCTATTAGGGTTTAGGATCTAAGGTCTAGGGACTAAGGTCGAGGGTCCAGGGTCTAGGGTCGAGGGTCAGAGGTTTAGGGTTTAAGATTTAGGAGTTATGATTTAAGCCTAGGGGTCAGGAGTTAAGGGTTCCAGGGTCCAGGGCCAGGGTCGGGGGTCAGGGGTTTTGGGCTCGGGGGTTTAAGATTTAAGAGTTAGGATTTAGGCTTAGGGGTTAGGAGTTAAGGGTTGGGTGTTGGGGTTAGGGTTTGGGTTACGGGTTTAGGGGTTAAAAGTTTAGGGTGTGTTTGGTAACGTTTACGTTTTCAGTTTATATTTACAAAATTTTATAAACGGACTTTTGTTTTATTTTTAGAAAAACATAAACTCACAACGCGTTTGGAAATTGACAAAATGTTTAAAAAAATTTTAAAAATATATAAAAGATGAGAATGGCAGTGGTGGCGGAAGACGGTATTGGAAAGTGGTGACGGTGGGTGGTGGGTAGCTAGTGTGGTGGTGGGTGGTGGTTGTGGCGGGTGGGTGGGTGACGGGTGGAGGGTGGTGGGCGGTAGCGAGTTGTGGTGGCGGTGGGTGGCGGGTGGTGTGGCAGGTGGGTTGCGGATGGCGGGTGGGTGGCGGGTAGTGATGGTGGTGGGTGGGTACGGTGGCGGGTGGTACGAGTGGGTAGTGGTGGCGGGTGGTGGTGGCAGGTGAGTGGCGGATGGGGGTGGTGGTGGGTGGTGGCGGGTGTAGTGATGGGTGTGGCGGTGGTGGGTGGTGGTGGCGGGTGGTGGTGGGGTAGTGGGTGTGGGTGGTGGTGGCGGGTGTGGTGGGTGGTGGCGGGCGGTGTGGTGGTGGGTGGTGGTGACGGTGGCGGATGGTAGGTGGTAGCGAGGTGGGTGGTGGGTGATAGTGGGGTGGTGAGTGGTGGGTGGTGATGGCGGTGGGTTGTAGGTGGCTGGTGGTGGTGGGTGACTGGTGGTGGCAGGTGGCGGATGGTGGTAGCAGGTGGGTGGTGAGTGGTGGTGGCAAGTAGGTGGCGGGTGGTGGTGGCGGCGTGGACGGTATGGCAGGTGGTAGCAGGTAGATGGCAGTGGGTGATGGTGGTGGTGGTGGTGGTGGTGGTGGTGGTGGGGCGAGGAGTGGTGGTGGTGGGTGGGTGGGCTGGTGGTGCTGGTGGTGGTGGTGACAGGTGGTGGCGAGTGGTGGTGGCAGGTGGGGTGGTGGTGGTGGGTGGGGGTGGTGGCGGTGGAAGACGATGGAAAAATGGTAGCAGGTGGTGGCTAGTGTTGAGTGGTAAAAAAAAAAAAAAAACTGAAAACTCAAACGGACGACAAAACCCCGGCGCGAATCGCGCCCAGGAACCCGAACGAAGAGAGCGTGCTCGCGCGCGGCATCTCGCGGAAAAACTAAACGACTCTCGGCAACGGATATCTCGGC